TCATTTAAATTGTAAATTGGAGACCCCATAAAGTCCATATTTTTCATCATAGTATAATTCAATGACGATTCAATAAATATTCGGTACCGTGCTACTTTCTTATATTTGTAATTTGTTCATGTTTTCACAATTTATTTCATATAGATGTACATCCCAAATTTACGTTCCCAACCAATATACTCTTGGGGGTTACAAATTCAATAGAATACAAAATTTTCTTTTCTGACCATACATTAGATGTGAAAGTGGACTTGGGGATACTCCAATGTGGGGACTTTACATAAATAAATTTCTATGTGGCAGACTCCAAAAATGGCTTTAATCATACGATGGTTTGAAATAAGCCCCATTAGTCTTTTTCGGCCATTTTTGTTTGTTTAAATGTGTTCGCATCTTCCAGCTGAACCACGATGTAGGTCCTGGAGTTGAAAGGTAGATGTCAGTTACCATCGCACTTATTTCATTTTTTGGTGAAAAATTGTATATAGTGAAAAATTATTCTTTATTTTGTTCACAAAAAATCCACTGAATTCAATATGATACTACAAATTGAAAAAAAATTGACAAAAGAAGAATAACAAATTGAAAAAATCTTCAACTTGTTCGCTGATTTTTTACAACAACTGTTTAAAGATCCTTACAAAGTTTGTCAATAGAATGTACTTTTATTTTAAAATTCAATTCCATTGGAAATGTTTTTCGATATTTTTCCGTTTTGAGAATTTTTGCAGTGAAATCTCTTTTTTCGTGATTTTGTAGCGATTTTAAAAAAGTAATTATCTTTTAACTTTGGTGTGACCGCTTTAAATTATTTCGATATCATCTATTCCGTTTCGCAACCACATAATTCGGTACTACACTTCCATGCAACCCACCATCAATTTCAGTTCTCAAAAAATCAAGTCAATTATTTAAATTGGTATTAATATTCGAATTCAAAAATAAAATATAAAAAACACTACAAATGTACATTAGAAAAAAGTAAGTCAAAATGGAAAAAATCATGCAAAATAAAACATTACTATTGTACATTTCAAAAGTCAAAATGAAAATGTTAATATATCACATTTTTACGCGATTTTTTTGGATATTATCCTTTTCGGATAAGAGACAATTCCGAATTTGTATGAATCATTAAAATCAGTTCAGCGGTTCTTAAGTTATAAGCGTAGTAACTAACACAACTTTCATTTATATATATAGATGTCAAAGTTATAGTTTTCCCACCTTAAAGATTGGCGTATTGCAGAATTGTAAGTTTGGATTTTCGCGACATTATTCACCGAAATTGCGTCAAATTTCTTTTTTGAAGTTCGTAATGGGTACTACAACCTATGACGGAAAATGGTCTGCGCAGGTCCTCGTCTTAGTATAGCCTCCATACAACGATACCTCCCTTTATTCGGTATTTTGATGATATTAGCGACATTATTCACAGGAATTGTTTCGAATTTCGTATTTGAAGTTCGGAATCGTTGCTACAGTCTATGACTTCTTCGTATGGTCCCCATATAATTTTTGGACGGAATTTTTTTTTCAAGTTCCTTCCGAATGCTGGATGGTGTACATAGTTTGGACCGACCGAACTTAGCGGCTTTTTTACTTGTTTACTCTCGTGTTCGATATATTTACTTCACGTTTCTTTTCAGTACAGATTTCATTGTAGAGACTTGTGTGAATATTTAAGTCAGTTTATCAACCTATTTTTCTGAATACTTTCTTACAATAAATTTTCATTAGATATCACATTCGGTTAATTAAGAACAGATTGAAACCGGTTTTCTATGCAGTTAAATTGCCCAAAATGCAGAGCTATATATGCTTATTAGACATTTGTAAAAAGTTATATACAAAACAACTCAGACCCATGAGTAATCATTGAAAGATTTACTTTTGCCAAAAGTATATTTTTCTGAATTAAATTTGTCTTTCTCGGATATGGAATAAATAAAAATGTTCAAGCTTCAGAGAACTTAAAATAATTTTTATTTGAAAATGTCAGGCTCGAGCACAATGGAATAAGGGCTACCCATGGCACAACCAGAAAGGTAGTTTAACCATAGACAAATTAGGTATAGACTAAAAGGTTGTCTCAACTGTTATCTGTGAAAAAAGTGCTTCAATAGATGTCGTTCATGCTGTGAGAGAGGTTCAGTAGACTCACTCAATTCTATCAAAATACAAAATATTAAATATTTTTATGATTCTTTATTATTTATAAATTAAAAACGAAACATAGACTTTGTTTACTTTTACATTATCCAAATATGTCGTGAAGTATAAAAATATAGAACTTAAATAGCAAATAATAGAGACTGTTTTCGAAGTCGAGTGACTTCCTAGCCCTGAGTGACTTGACTGGCCCAAGTTTAACAATAGTGACATCTGCCGGAAGGGGAAATTTTAAAACTTTTTAGTCTATACCTTTATTTGTCTATGGTTTAACTTCAAAGAATATAGGAAAATACAACTCCGCAATAGGACCTTATTGTATCAAAAGGACTTTTAAAGCATGAAAGAAGTTAATTTTATTTACCAAAATTTGAAAATGTTGGGCCAAAAAACAGCGAACTGTTGATGCAACTGATTTTAAGATAATTTCAAATAGTTTTCTTTGTTACTCAAAACAATGAAAATATATATACAAAATGTGAATATATTTTGACAGAAAAGTGACACAATACAATAAGTGAATAAGCAGTATGGCCGGCCCATACTTTAAATTTCAAAAACATACGCTCAAAAATGCCTCGTAAATTAATAAAATGTGGTACAGTAATATGTGACTATAGGAAATCGTGGACCGAGGCAAAATACCGAATACCGAAGTTACCATTATTTGATTTCTTCACTTAAACAATTATAATGGTTCCAGTTTTAAAATAGCAGTGGTCCAGACCTATTCTTCAGATTGACTGTAATTTCAAAATATAAATGTCAACCGGGATCATGATCCGCTTTAAGACACGGGGATTTAATTAATTAATTTACAACTCTAAAAGATAAGGTACTTCGATATAATTGGTATGTCCACGTTTTATCGTGTAACGGCACCACTCAATTCTAGGACGGTAAAGATTGAAGTTTTGCAATTGATTGGGATATAATTTGGTTAAATCCAAAAAAAAAAAAAAAAATTAATTTGTAAATTTCCATTCATAATATTGGCTTTATTCCAGAACTGGAACAATGTAAGAATTTTTACTACGATAACCGAGTTTTCCCTTATGATATCGAAAAAAATTGCAAGAGTAGTAGATTCTTGAAGGTTCTGGAGCAGAGAAATTATGATTGTTTTTTTTTTTAATGTTATATTTTCAGTTTTCATTCGAAAAATCGAAATAGAGAAGTTTGAGTTTATATCATCTTAAAAAATCAATTTTTGAATAACTGTTACCTAAATCCATTGGATTCTAGTTAGGTTACATTGGTTGTAACCACCGTTAATTTATATGGGTATAGACTTTTAGCACGGATCGGAAAATTATTCTGATATAATTATTTACACCCACATGCATACATATTTGTGTATTTATTGACCATGTATAATTATAAATGGGTACATACACCCATTTATAGGAGTTTAATTATCCTCAACACTTGAAACGAAAGAAAAACTCTTAGTTGTCCATGGCTATTCCTCAGATGTTACAGTTCGTAATTGTGTTTTATTTTCTCACAGACACATACCTCCTTTACAGACACATATATACTTTCAGGAGCATTTGTGTTCATGAAATTAATTGATACAAAATGTCAGTACGCCATATGCAAACCCCCATCCCTCCGTGGGTACGTACTATTTCCATTCTAAAGGGACTATATGCACTCAGAACGGCACCGCTGGCAAACAAACTAATAGGAAACTAGCTGCAAGGCACACAGATACCTACTAAGTACGCAAATGCACATACATACACGCTTGTGCATATAGCATATACTTATCTACATATAGATATCTCTTCATACACCACATAATGTACGGACTGAGGGGAGGATAGCTAAATTGCTATAATCAGAATTATCGGGTGTTTTTGCACAGTTTGTTTCTTGTAGCTACGTGTGCAACGAAGTGAAGAATTTGCAAGTCGGTGTAACTTTAATTACCCATCCAATTGTGACCATCAATTGTAGTAGGTAGTTGGAGTAGCTCTGTACACGAACTGGCAGCGGGCGCGGGAACACTTATCGGTAAGTGTTGCTTTATTTATTCGATTATATTCGATTCTTATGAAAGTATGAGCGAGCAAAAAGGTGAGACCAAATGATTGCCCATACACTCATACGTTCATTAACTAGCTTATTCATTCAGACGTTCGCTTCGTTATTCGGCAGCACACACAGGCGTATCTATTCCGCGGGCAAGCGTGTACGTCACATCCACATTCAGCCACCCTTGGAATGGGCTATGCTGTTTGGTTTCTCGCACATTCCCATAACTTATGTGTACACAATTGAAATCACGCACACACACACACACCTCAATACCCGCACCAATAACTCAGTAAATCGGTGGTAGCAATGGAAAGCGGTTCTTGTTGTTGGCTGCGGCGCATTGTTGACATTCAGAAAGTTAAGCATGTGCAACTGGCACTGCCCACTCGAGATATTACAGCAGCGATAATTGCTGTTAGCGGCACACAGTGTGGGAAGGGCCTCGGAATGCTATGAAGGAAAAAAGCAAACGAGAGCTTGTTGTCTCTGTCACACCCTTGCCTATCCGTTATGTCTGATAAATGAATGTCTGATAAATGAAACGGAACTTTGCTATAGTTGAAACCTTGCGAGCGTGTGTTTGTTGTGTGTGTGTGTGAGTGAGTGAAGAGGAACCAGTTGTTGCTTTAGTCATTTTTGAATGGAATGCCGAAATGAGTGAATGAGCATTCAGAGTCACTCGAAACGTAATAAAGTCACTTTAAAAAGCAGCACACACTCACACACATACACACAATTTGATTGTCCCACCAGTGTGGAGCCAGTGAGTGAGGAAGCACCGGTACACTGTAACAGTGGCTGGTGACGAACGACTCAACGTCAGCTAGCTGAGAGTGAATGCCTCAGTCTGATAACTGGTGGTTTCGTGTTTGGATCGTGATTGCGCTTCAATGAAATTAGAGAACGACGGCAGCGGCGACGACGAGAACGGAAAAGAAGAACAATTCAAGAAGTTTGACTTGAAATCGGGAAGCGAAGAACATGTTTTCGGCATCTCAGTTCAGTTGGGCTGTTTCTGTGTTAATGACGGTTTCAACAAATAAATGTGTCTCATAAATTAGTGAACGAAACGATTGACTAGCTAAATTGAAATGACCAGTGAATTCCAAAATAGAAATAATTAAATTCAAGAAACACAAGGGTTTCAATACCAAAAACAAAGAAAAAACAACAACAAATAAAACCAGCTACGAAAAACAAAAGAACGGTGGCATTAAACGTCAACGCTTGAACTATTTACCTAATATCCGTGTTAAGCTACTTGCTAATAAAACCACTTTGACTCTTGACAAACGCAGAAATAGAACCTTTAACCCTTCAACTAGTTATTGCCAAGCTCCGTTCACAAAAAAATACGCTTTACGCTGGAAAAGCGAAACAAATAAATTGTCATGTTGATTGAATCGGGTATCAATCGCGACTTTGGATCTATAGCACCAGGCAGTTTCAATATACCAGCACACTGGAAGATGGATCCACCCCGAATTCCTGCACTGAATACTCCCGCAGCTGCAAATGTAGCGGGTGCAATGCCACCTCTTCACCCCAACGGTAAGTGCAGCCACCAACACCAACGAAACCAAGTGTTTGAGACAAATCAAAAAATAGTGAAGCACATATTCCGACGGCATTCAATGATAGAATTCTGGCGAGTGTGCGTGTAACTATGATCGACGAGTTTTCGGTCGGTGTCGGTGTTTTTGTATGTGTGTCTACTTCTTCGAAATGAGTCCATTATATTCTGATATTTTGTTCTTATCTTGCAATTTTTTGTGGGGTCAGTAGTTATATATGTAAAAAATCAGTGCCAAGCATATTCTTGTAGTGAACTGAACCATAAGCCCTAGTATTGGCAGTTTTCGTTGAGAATCAGCATTTCAAACTGATATAAAGTAAAATGTAACATTTGACTATGCGCCACTTCATGAGACTGCCTCGTTTTTCTGCAGACGTGAAATTTAGGGATGATTTTAGGAAATTTGGCAAATAGCTTCAAATTTATGTGGTTCTTTGAGAATATCGTTCAGTTACTCCGAACTTCGGAATTTTAATGGTAACAAACGCTTTATGCAGATATACATAAAAAAGTTAAATTAATGATGTTAAAAATTGAAGAAATGCCATAAGCAATTCTTCAAATCAGGAAAGGAATAAAACATTTGTTTTAGATACTGTTGCTAAATGTGGTCGAAACCTTTAAAATGGGGGCTACACCAAAATGTGCGAACCTTAAAATTACCTCAAATGTAATGGTACCGTTAAATGGTGGGCTATACTAAAACGTGAACCAATGTGTTTCATTTTCAACCACATAAAACGTAAACACAAAATTTGAGCAAAATTTGATACATTTGGTCGATTGTTTTGATGGTTTTGAAATGGTACGACAAACTTAACATAACTTTTAAATGTTAAAGACGTATAAGAGCAATGGAGTTTAGTTTGACTCAATTCGATTTCGGTCCATAATTTTAACTAGTGATTTGTTCTTTTACGAAAAGGCGAACTTGAACTACGACTTAAGCATCTCATGTATTCTCTCCTTTAATTATTTCTCGAAAAAAGTTTTGTTCTTTGTATTTGCTGTGTGGGCATATTAAAAAGTGCAGAATGTTTGTAGTTCTCATAGCATAGTTGTGTTTTCGGTGTTTCGCCTCTTGATCGACTTATGTATCGAGTCGATTTTAATCTTAACTCAGTACTGGACACAACAATCTAACTAGATAGACATGGGAAAAGTGCGTCAAACTTTGATCGAAATACCTACAAGTTACGTTTATTTTCCTATACTCTTAAAATTGGCGACATTTTTTTTACCAAAGAGCAATACATGCACAAAACTGGAATAATTAGTTCATATTCGGAAATTATTAAGACCATATAGATTTAAACAAGCAGATACGTAAAATAATTTGTACTGGCGACTTGTTTTTCGTAAATGAAAAAAGAAGCGTAGGGCGATGAAGTGTAAATTATGGTCTGAAATTTAACTAAGTCAATCTAAAATGTCTACCTTATTTTACAAAGTAGACAGTCTATGACTTAAGACAGTGTAAAAATACTTTTCTGTATTGGTACCTTAAAGCCAAGAAGATGTTCTATATCATATAACATAAAATCAAATTTATGTTCGAATCTGACCTGCGAAAATGCCAAATGACTCATTTATAGCGCTCTTAGGAAGCATGGTGTTAAAATGGACGACCACGTTATATAACGTAATTTCAATCAAATTTTTCGGTATTTTAATGCTTTTGCTGCAACTCAAATCTACTTTACATTTGAATGAATTAAGATATATTATCTGTATGTTTTCACAAATATTAATCTATTTGCGAACCAGGACATTATTCTAGAGGGCAAGTAATTTATAAGACGCTATAATAGAGCTATAAAGAGTATTCGAATGACATCAATTAGATGTTTGGCAACCCACTCACTCGCACGAATTTGGCAATAGCGCCGATATATTCCTTGGTTCTTCTCCTTTATTATAGCCATAATAAGTGTTCCACTCCATTTATTTACCTGTTTTAAAAAATAAAAACCCCATTCCCTAGTTTGCATACCGAAATGTTTGGGGATGATTGAAAATTGTATTGATATATGTAACTCGTATTGATAAGAATATTAGGTGTGCTCTCACCGTTGTTGTTGGAGAGATTACAAAATATATATTTCTTTAATTTTTTCCATAACCACATTTTTCACACAATTTTGGTATGTTGTTAATGATGGGCCACAAATAAACGAGAATCTTTCTCTCCTTTGAGTTTATGACTAGACGTGATTACCTTAATAAGAATATTCCGATTTTTATTATACCTTCAGCCATATGGCTACAGCCAAAACGTGCCTCATCGAAATGACGGTTTTAGACACTAGACCTATTTGGCCAAATTAGTTTCAGGACATTTGAAGTCAATTCAGCGATGTCCGTCCGTCTGTCTATCTGCTGGCTGGTGCGCACGATAGCTCTCTAAGGGAGCATCCGATTTCGTCCATACTTGGTACATCGTAATATTATTATCAATTATTAGATTGAATTCGGAGATGGGCGATATTCGCCCTCTCCTTCCACAAAATCTCAACATTTTCAAAAATGTATTTTACTGCACATGAAGAGAAAGGATAATTCGATTTTGCTCCAACTTTAAGTAAATCTTAATATTTGCATTAGTGCCCGGTCAGGTGAGAAAATGTACAATATCGGTCCACTCCATCAAGTACCACCCCCACAGAGGACCAACATTTTGAATATTTATCACTCTTATAAAATCTGATGTAAAAGTCCGATTGTCTTCAAATTACACACATCACAATAGTTTTATTAATCCAAAGTCTGTTGTGAAGATGATGTGAAGATGGAATATATCGGTACCTCTCTCACAAAGTGTCAAAATTGCTCATAAAACGGGAAATTAACAATTTTCAATACTTTTATCTGTCAAAACTTGTGAAAAAAGTCAGCGATTCCTTACAACTTGCTATATCTAAATTCTTCTCTCAACCAGAGACCTAAGATGAATATGAAATTTTCGATTTCGCATAAAATAAGATACAAATTTTTTTATCTGTATTAGGTGAAGTATGAAAATGCAATACTTCGGTCGAGTTTATCTGGTACCTCACTCACATTTTAACATTTTCTAAAAATTAGCTCATATGACGTGAAGGAAGTAACTAATATAGTCCAAAGCTGGCACGTCGCAATATTTATATCATATATATTTAGGTCCCATGCGAAATTCGTAAATTTCGAAATTCCTTCGTAACCCACCCCATTACGGGTCAACAATAATCATAACAGAATATATTTAAATAATCGAACATTGGCTGAGGGCATACATATGTCGGCTATACCGATTAATTAATTCAACTTTAAAATATTAATTTTTAAAATTAATCAAATAATAAATATAAATCCCCATAAATTTAGACGTCGGAAAACTTAAAAAATAATTTAAAAAAATACAAAAATTGACATATCGTACACAAATATTCCACTTCTCCACTATGGTAAAATATTTTGTACACAAGGTTTATATCTTAAAATTTGCCAAAGTTGGAGAAATTGTTAATTGTCAAAAATTCACCCTTTTTGTATTATTCGTTTCTATTTTCAACACACAAATTTCGAGCGCTCGACGCATTCGGTAAGATTTTTTAAATACATGTTTTTAGCTTGTGTGAGCGTCGACTGGATACGTCAAATTTTAGGTATATATGATCTCTGACTTATCAACGACTGATAAAAGCCGCCGGTTATTTGTTTTAAGGTATATGAAATGTCTCGTACCAAATATTATAGACTTCGGGAGCAAATTATTGAATTTCGTATAGTTTAAAAGGCAGTTCTGCCAATGTGCATTTGGGCATATATCGTATAAATACGTATTACATGGGAGTCGGAGCGCTGGAGTCTAACAAAAATGGATCGAAAAAAAAAAATGTGCAAAAAAAAAAAGATTTTTATTATATTTTTTTCATAGACCATAAAACCATTTAGAGTTGTCATTCTAACTATGTTTTTGCTCCTTTTCCATGATGGACATAAAAAATGAATAAAAATGCAAGAATTTAACTTAATATTTATTTTTACTTTACTTGTAATGAGTTGATATACCGGGAAATTTAATTGGATATAGTTTTCAAACTAACTTCTTTTATTCTCTCTATCAAAAAACATTATTTTGTCATTAAGCACCATATACTAAAAGTGTTAACATATTTTATACTTTCTTCCACAATAATATATATCCCCTTCAATCCAAGGCCAAATAAAAATGTATTACCTATGGCAAAGGTAACATAGATTCCTTGTTTGATGTACATCATCAGATGAGTGTGGTGTTGTGAAACTATTCAGTGGAAAACTTCATTTAAAACAAATGTTATTTTATGTTACTTAGGTTATTACACAAAAACATTTTACTTGAAGTACAATCCTAGAGGTTTCGAAAATAGTGTGACCTTTAATATAAATTCTAAACTATATTTTTGAATTATATACAATGGAGTTTTCAACTTTTTTTTTCATGGAATACCAACAATTATTTTCAAAGATATTGTCAATTATAGAAAAAAACTCCGACACCTCATCTAATGGAACAATTTATGCTTAGTTGAAACCGGCTAAAAATTAATTTCCTAAAACTAAATAAGTAAAGGTGCTAAAGCGACCGCTATGTTACTTTTTCAAAAGAAATAGTGTCATTTCAAGCCAGTCTGACAACGGGAACTTCATAACAGAAAGTAATTCTTTGAGATCTTTTACAATCTAATCGTTTAGCACTGTCCAATCATCTATAATGGTACAACTTTAATTTTCATACCCTCCATCACTAGAAATACATAATTTCCAATTTGTTCCGAAAATAGAGTTCAAAATACCGGAAATTTAGCTCGATCTAATATGGTCACGCACCATTGTATTACCATTAAAACTAAAATATGGGTCAAATAACCCATTTCAAGGCAATGTAAACAAACTATTTATTGCATTACCGTAGGTAGAAAATAATGGGTTATTTCATAAAAGCTTCAACGCAAAAGAGCTTACCAAATAATCAGTAACGACACGGAGTGTGCGTTTATGGCTACAGAGGTAATGAGTTTGAGACTAAACGTCGGCAATTGAAAAACAGAAACAAAAATTGGTTTGGTTTTCTGGGTTGAATATATCGGGTGTTTAAAAAGTGCATCTCAATTTCATTACTTAGGGCATACGTGAGTTATATCTAAATCTGAAACGAGAACAATCGGTCTCATCTGTAAATATAAAGAAAAACGGTATCTCATCTCTATCGGACGCTAAATTCACGATGTAATTTGATTAAAAAAATGCATCTGTAAATTGACTCAATAAGGAATTCTGAGATGATCTTTAAAGGTAACTATCGGTTTACTTTGACTCCTTCTTCCTGCTGGATATAGATGCACAAAGGCACCATAAACACACTAGTAAAAATCCTTCAAAATCTAAATATCAGCCAATCAAATGAAAGATGGCAAAATCTGAAATTTAGTTCGAAAAAATTCGATTACAAGGTGGCAGAAATGGTAACAAATTTACATTACACCTACATTGGGTAAGTGGGCCTAAGTTACAAGGCATGACGCAGTAGTCGGCATTTAAAGAAATAAATAAGATTTTGTATAACTGAGTGCAAAAATAAATATATAATAGCTTCGGATATTATATCAGCTACTTTTGTGTAAAATGTTGCTAAGAAAAGTTGATTTATTCTCTTAAAATTTACATTTAAGTCTGCGAAGGTCCTTCAGTGCGAACGAGACAATGCACACATCTTTAAAAATGCGATGAATTTATTTTTTTAAATTGTCTTATGGATTAAATGTACAGCAACAATGTCGGAACAGTTTTATTAAGTAAAAATTAGTATTTTTTTAAAAACTTATTATTTTTTGCTTACAAAAAATTGATATGTTGACTATTAGAAAGTGAGGCCGACTACCGGCAAAAATAAAACATTATTTTAATAAATTGCAAATGTTACAAATTTAATAAAAAGTCATCCAAGCATTTTTTTAATATTTAGAACACGAAGAAAATGTCGAATCTGAGCAATGTTAACGTTGTTTTAATTGAAAAATTCCTCTTAGGATGGTAAAAAATTGAAGAAACGAAAATGCTAGAAGTGCCGACCACTGGTTCCTTCGGGTGTTTTATTATTGGATGTGTATCGAATGATTGACACATATGTATGTTTCAATATTGACCTCAATAATATTGAAAGAAATGTTCTTCAAAATATTGGATATTGTGACTATTACGTACATATTCATCCATACATACTTGTCTATGCACCCATTTATGGATACTTTTAATGTGTGTGTGTCGTTAACAATGACTCATTGAACGGGGACTGTTCACAGCGTCGATTGTGAATGTTTGAGCGTTTTTGTTTGATCGGCGCGAGTAAAGCAAAGCGTATTCAGTTGATTTGTCTGGAATTGAATCGACATAAATTATTTTGTGTGTGACACAAATTATAGGTATTCAATTAAGTAATTATTTATTGTCATAATTTCTTATACACACCGACATAAACACTCACTCACACAACGACACACGCACGCACACACACATCAATTTTCATTCGTGTGGTGACACGCAACGAAAGTTTTGTTGAGTGTTCATACCATGAGTGGTGCATGTACAGCGGGTATGAATGGGAAAGCGTACGTACTGATCCATACCTATATACATACATACATACATACACATACACGAGTCGAAGAGGGCAGTGAGCGGACGCATAAGTGTGCGTGTTTTTTGTGTGCGATGGCCTTTTGTAATGAGGGTGTTTCATGTTTTTATTTTCTACATTTTCAGTGGGACTGGTACCCTCCGGGCAAATACCGGGATCTGCAATATTCACAGGCGGAGCCAATGGCCAACCATCCCCCAGCACGCTGAGTGCTCTGGTATCTCAACAACGACTATTGGAACTATCACGATTCAGTGGTTTACGAGGATATGATATCGCCCAGCACATGCTGACACAACAGGGTGCGGTATCCAAGCTATTGGGTAAGTTTATACGATTTTCAATAACCACATTCACGAATATTTTGTTGGTTCGTTTGTCTGATACTGAAACATGGTGGTGGGTGAACATTCATTATTTATGCACTGCTCGAAGGGCGGCAGGCGGTAGGGCAAAATGGTGGACACAATTAGAATGAATGTGTCCGTCTACTTATTTCATTCTAAATTAAGAATGTCGAAAAAACATTACACAACGGTGGCAGCCACATGAGTTTGTTAATTGCCAGAAGATATCAAAACTGAATAAAAAATGGCGTGTCTGTATGTTGTGTACCATCATTTTTTACGAAACAATTAAGATTATATGTATATATGTAAAAGTATTTATTATGATCTGCTAACACAATTGTCTAAAGTACTGAGTGTGAAAAATATTCTTAATTTCGTCCATTTCCAAACGTCATATACCTGCATAAACCGTCGAAAAATTATGAAACGTCATACACTTTTCAAGTTGGTTGACAAACGTTTAGGTCGAAGAATTGAATCCTCGCTGATCATAACGATGATATTTTTCTTGTTTAAATTTGGCAATTCTGGCAAAGTTACATTAGAGAGCTTAAAACCTAAGGATGGATTTTTGTTCTATGTTTTGTTGTTGAAAATAGCCATTTGTATCGTTCTAGCTTCACTCCCTGTAACAAAACCGAAGGCTGCTGTTTATGAAATGTCAGTTTCTCAGATGGTAAAGGAAATAAGATTTTTCTTTTAAATTTCCATTTTTGGTCTGTAACGCTCTATCAGCATGAATTTTTAAGAAACAAGTATGAAAGCAGTTAGTTCGGCCGGACCGAACTTTAAATACCCTTCACCGTTTGGAAAAAATTTAAAAATTTCCAAAAGAAAAATAACTAAATAAAATAAGTTGAAAAATACTGTTAAAATCATGAAAATACCGAACATGGGGAGTTACGGTTACATCTATACGAAGACATGGACCCGTATAGGAAAGTTTTGTCATAGACCCCTACAATATTCAAACACGAAACTAAAATAAAGCCGGTGAATAACGTCGCGAAAACATCAAAATACCGGATATAGGTAGGTACCGTTATATGGGGGATATACGAAGACCTGGACCTGTATAGACAACTTTTGTCATAGACTGTAGTACCCATAACGAACTTGATATACAAAATTTGAAACCATTGCGGAGAAACGTGTCGCTACAAAATACCGAATAAAGGGACATTTATATGGGGACTATAAGTAAACGTGGACCTATAAAGTCAATAACAAAAGTCCTGCAGATGAAATACACATTTGAGTAAACTTTTATGAACCTACTGATCAAGAATATATATATATATATATATATATATATATATATATATATATATATATATATATACTAGCTGAACCCGGTGCGCTTCGCTACCCCTTTTGATTTTATATGCATTCAAAATTTTATTTACGAATATATGTTGGTTAAAAAAAAAACAAATTTAAAAATTATAAAAAAATATTGCACTACTTTAATGCGTAAATAACCAAAACCATTAGAAAAGCAGTAAAATGACGTACATACACGAAGAGTTTGTCCTTCGGATTTATTTATTTCATAGCAAATACCAAGCGTGCAGTAAACTGCAATCTTCATCACTCATGCCGAATTTCATTGGAATCGGAAATACGTATCGTGTTTTGTGCATCAAATATGTGAAATCGGCGGAAAATATATATGGGAGCTATATCCAAATCTGTACCGATTTTAATATAATTTGACTAATTTATTTTCTAATCAAAATCCCGTTACATATTCCAAATTTCTTTGGAATCGAACATACATATCGTGTATGATGCATAAAATACATGAAATCGGTCGAAAATATATATGAGAGCTATATCCAAATCTGAACCGATTTTAATATAATTTGACAAATGTATATTTGTTTTAATTTCCGCTACACATTCCAAAATTCATTGAAATTAGAGATACATAGCGTGTTTGGTACATCAAATACATGAAATCGGTCGAAAATATATATGGGAGCTATATCCAAATCTGAACCGATTTCAATTTAACTTGACAAATTCATTTTGGCTCCCAATTCCGTTACTTATTTTAAATTTCATTACAATTGGAAATACATATCGTGTTTGGTCCACCAAATACATTAAATCGGCCGAAAATGTATATGGGAGCTATATCCAAATCTGAACCGATTTCAATATAATTTGGGAAATAAATTTTTTAGATAAAATCTATCACACGTTTCAGATTTCATTGAAATTGGGGATACATAGCGTGTTTGGTGCATCAAATGCTTTAATCGGCCGAAAATATATATGGGAGCTATATCCAAATCTGAACCGATTTCAATATAATTTGACAAATTTATTTTCAGATCAAATCCCGTCACATATTCCAAATTTCATTGGAGTCGAACATTAATATTGTGTATGAGGCATCAAATGAACGAAATCGGTCGAAAATATATATGGGAGCTATATCCAAATCTCAACCGATTACAATATAATTTGGCAAACTTATTTTTGTTCCAAATTCCGTTACGTATTCCAAATTTGGAGACTGTATCTTCAACCAATCAATAGATATGTGCATATAAAATCTAAATTTTTGGGAGGTACCTCCGATTCTGATGCTATATCTCCGGTTCCAAGTGGAAATTCAAAAATGTATATAGCCTATGTTATTTTCAGGCGATGTTGCAGTATATATGGAAATTTTCAGGAAAATCTATTCAGCGGTTTTCGAGTCCATAAATTACAAACAAACAAACAAACATACAAACATTTTCCTCTTTTATAGATATCTATATATATAAAAGAAAGTTGTGTTAGTTACTACGCTTATAACTTAAGAATCGCTGGACTGATTTTAACGATTCACACAAATTCGGAATTGTCTCCTCTCCGAAAAGGATAATATCCAAAAAAATCACGTAAAAATGTGATATATTAACATTTTCATTTTGACTTTTGAAATGTACAATAGTAATGTTTTATTTTGCATGATTTTTTTCCATTTTGACTTACTTTTTTCTAATGTACATTTGTAGTGTTTTTTATATTTTATTTTTGAATTTTTATTTTGAATTAATTGACTTGATTTCTTGAGAACTGATATTGATGGCGGGTTACACGGAAGTGTAGTGCCGAATTATGTGGTGGCGAAATGGAATATCGAAATAATTGAACGCGGTCACACCAAAGTTAAAGATAATTACTTTTTCAAAATCGCTAAAAAATCACAAAAAAGAGATCTCATTGCAAAAATTCTCAAATCGGAAAAAAATCTAAAAAAAAATCATTGGAATCGAATTTAAAAATAATAGTACATTCTATTGACAATCTTTACAAGGATCTTTAAACATTTGCAGTAAAAATTCAGCGAACAAGTTGAAGATTTTTTCAATTTGTATTATCTTATTGAATTCAATGGAATTTTTTGTGAACAAAATAAAGAATAATTTTTCAATCTATATAATTTTTACCAAAAAATTAAATAAGTGCGAAATACTATGTAAACTGACATCTACCTTTCAACTCCAGGGCCTACACCGTTTTTCAGCTGGAAGATGCGAACACATTTAAACAAACAAAAATGACCGAAAAAAACCTAATGGGGCTCATTTCAAAGCCTGGACCTACTTCTTTCATGTGACAATAATCCGTCCAATGAGAGCTCAAAATGCAAAATTCTTTGGGAGTGCAATCAGTAAAATACCAAATATAAAGGGTGCAAAATAGTAGAGCGAATGGGACTTTTAGTAAGAAAAGGATTTATATCCTTTCCAAACATTCAATATACCTTAAATCGCTTTTGCAGGTCATGATATCGATCATAATTCTCGGATAAGGGTACAACCCTATTTAACCCATATTTATATAACCTCCGTATGATTTAAGATATTTTTGCGGTCTTGGCCACTTTTTTCTTTGTTTGGCCCTTATTTGGCATCTTTGTTTCTAAGGGGTAGAGAACCTCTTCGCATAAAATTTGAAATTTTCAGAATAAGGTCAATATTTGTCTTGACCACATTCATCAATTGATTTGGCTAAAAAATTGTATTTATGCTACTCTGGGGTGGGGAACCATCATACAGAGTGCCACATAGGAATTTATTTAAGTAAAGTCCCCATATTAGAGTATCCCCAAGTCCACTTTCACATCTAATGTGTGGTCAGAAAAGAAAATATTGTATTCTATTGAATTTGTGACCCCCAGGAGAATATTGGTTAGGAACGTATATTTGGGATGTAGATCTATATGAAATAATTTGTGAAAACATGAACAAATTACAAATATAAGAAAGAAGCACGGGACCAAATATTTGTTGAGTCGTCACTGAATTATACTATGATGAAAAATATGGTCTTTATGGGGTCTCCAACTTACAATTTAAATGGCAAATAAAATTAATTCCCATCTTACGGTAATGGGTGTAAAATAGTAATTATATTTGACTATTCTGAAATCATTCTGTCCTCATTTATGAGGTGGATAAAACTATTTTTACTTATTTAAATCACTCGAATTTTTCAGTTTGACATGCTATGCTGTTCCGCTATATTTTTAATTTGGCCTCTATTTGTCATCTTGGATTATAAGAGGTAGAAGAAAGTTTTCAATGTAGGTCGGAGTAGTGCCCATATAAAGGTACCTCCTGATTTTACCATATTTCTAAGGATTTGGCTAAAAATGTGTATTTGCGGGGTGAAAATCTTACACAAACATTTCAAGATATCTACAAAATTTTAGAATTTTCTCCATGTAATAGTACCCCCTCAAGTTCACCTTTTGGTGGACAAACAGACAGACATGGTTAGTGGGACTTATGAGGACTCTAATGCACAATGTAAGGTGTTACTGGGTTTAAAAAAGTAATTAACTTTGGCTATTCTTAAATCATTCGGCCCTCAGTTATGAGGTGTAGAAAATACAGTAAATTCCAAATTATTGCTCATTTGACTGGAAAATTTTGCTACGATTTTTACCATACTAAAAATTAATTTAA